ATGAGGTGCTGAGTAGAAAGTGTATTCTTTGGTGTTTGGGTGGAATAATCGTAAGATGTCTGTTAGGTCCATTTGATGTATAGTATCATTTAATTCAGATGCCTCTCTGTTTATTCTTTGTCCAGTTCTGTATTCTTTGGAATATTTGAAAAGATGTTTGTTAGGTCCACTTGATGTATGGTATCATTTAATTCAGATGTCTCTCTGTTTATTCTTTGTCCAATGGAGACAGTTGGGTATTGAAGTCTTTATTGTTACCGAGTTTGGGTTAATCTGTGTCTTAAAGTCCTGTAGTCTTGTTTTTATGAATTTGGGTGCATCAGGGTTTGGTGCACATATGTTAAGGATTATAATATCTTCTTGGTTAATTGTTCTTTTGATCATAATGAAGTGACCCTCCTTATCACTTCTGATTAGTTTCACTTTGAAGTCTCTTTTGTCAGATATTAGAATTGCAACCCCTGCTTGTTTCTTAGTGCCATTTACTGGGAATATTCTTTTCCATCATTTTATATTAAGGAAGTGCCTGTCCTTGAAAGTGAGAAGAGTTTCTTACAGACAGCAAAGAGATGGATTTTGTTTCTTAATCCATTCACTTAGCCTGTGTCTTTTGACTGGGGAGTTCAGTCCATTGATATTAAGGTTATTATAGAAAGATGTGTATTGGTTGCTATCATTTTGATTGCTGTTTGTGTTCTCTGTGTAATTTTGTGTCTCCTTGATTATACCTTTATTTATTTTCTTTCATTGCCCCTGGGATATAGTTGTTTCTCTCTCCACTCTCTGTATTGCTTCAAGTATTCTTTGAAGGGCTGGTTTTGTGGACATGTATTCTTTCAGTCTATTCATGTCATGGAAGATTTCTCTTTCCCCCTCAACTATAATAGACATTTTTGAGGGTTATAGATAGTATTCTGGGCTGGCATCTATTGTCATGTAGAACTGGAAATACCTTGGTCCAGGCTCTTCTGGCTTTCATAATTTGCATTGATAAGTCAGCTGTAATTCTGATGGGCTTTTAATACAATTCTGACTGATTTTGTATATATAGCCAAAACTTCAGTGACTTCCTATGCTCCATTAACTAACATTCAGCTATAAGCTCTTGGAAATACTGCTTCTATTTTCCTCACTGTTTCTCACCTTGATGTTCATTGTGTTATCCAATGTGATATTCTTTTCTCACTCATGACTTCTAGTTTAATTTGATCTCATGCAATTGTACATTAATGAAATTATAGATAGATGATGATGATGATAGATAGATAGATGATAGATAGATGATAGATAGATAGATATGATAGAAGATAGATAGGTATATAGATAAACAGACAGATGATAGTTTTTATTTCCTTTGTGATTATTAGTTTAACACATTGTTTAAATATATGTTGCTTAATTCCCACATAGTCATGAACTTACCAGCTTTCTTTCTGTTACTGATTTCTAACATCATCCTATTATGGCCAGAGAAGATACTTAGTCTGTCTTTCACAATGTATCAGGACTTGATTTGGGGCATTATGGTGTTCTATTCTGGAGAATAGCTGGTGGGCACAGAAGCAGGTGCATTCTGCTATGTTGGTGGGAGTGTTCTCTACTTCCGTTTCTTATCAAGCTAATTGTCTTCAGGTCCCTTATGTCTTTTCTTGACATTTGTTTCTTACTATCCATTATTGTGCAGGAAATATTAAGTCCTCAGTTAATGTATAGCTTTCTATTTCTCTCTCCAGTTTTTGCTGTAGGTAACTGAGGATCTGTTGTTAGGTGTATGGACCATTATCACTGTTATATATCCTTGCTGTGTTGAGCCTTTTATTCATGTGTAGTGTTCTTTTTGGTTGCTTGGAATTGTTTTTAACTTAAACTTTATTCTTTCTGGTATTAATACAGTCACATTGGCTCTCTTTGGGTTAGAATTGTCACAAAACAGCTTTTCCCATCCCTTTATTTTTAACCTATGTGTGTCTTTGAATATAAATTAAGTCTCTTATAAACAACATAATTGGCTCTCTCTCTCTCTTGCTCTCTCTCTCTCTCTCTCACCAATTCTGCCAGTATTTGCCTTTGGGTTGGATATTTTGACCATTTACATTTTAAGTTCTTACTTACGGGAGTGAATTACTTGTGTCATTTCATTTTACTCTTTTTATAAACCTTCCAATTTTTTTGAATTCCTGTTTCTTCCATTACTATTTTTTCTGTTTGCTCAGTTTTCTTTCTTTTTTGTAATGAAACATTTCTATTTCCTTTCTCATTTCCTTTTGTCTATATTCAATAAGTATTTTCTTTTTGTATATGTGGTCATTACATTTATATCATAAACTTATAACAATTTAAATATTTAAACTTCAGTACATAAAACTCTGCTGAAGATACTATCCAGCTTCTCTTATTTTAACAGGAAAGATTGCAATATTTCTTGTTGGACATGTCTGGTGATTGTGAACTCTCAAATTTTACTTACTTGGCATATCTTAGTTTCTGAGTCAATTTCTATTGATTTTTGACCCCTACTCCCAGGTAAATGTTAAAATATCTAACTACTTAGAATATCTAATATCTTTTGACTGCTATACTGGGTTGTTGAGTATGTAGACTTTTGGTGGGGAGGCATCATTTGAGAGTTTGGGGCTCCTTCCTGACATCCTATTGAAATTTGTGTGTGTGTGTGTGTGTGTGTGTGTGTGTGTGTGTGTGTGTGCTTGGGGTTTACTTTTAACCTTTGCTAAGGTGGGCCTGGTGTATCATTCACCCAGCGTATTTCCATTCCATCACTGAAGCGTGCACTTTCTAGAGTCCTCACTAAATCCCCTGACTGATCATCAGTCATTCTTCACTCTGACCTAGCTCTGTAAGTTCCATTCTTCTGTGAGAAGATAGAAAAAAAGATCAATTTAATCTCCTAGATATCCTCCTAGTGTTTATATAGCCTGTAAGTCAGCAAAGACTAAAGCAGATGCCTGTAGGGTTTCTATGGCTATTTAAAAAGAAATTTTAAAACATAGAGAGAGAGAGCGATGTTATGTGTGTGCATATGTATGTGAGTGTGCATACCCACATGGGTTCACACAAAGGCCAGAGCAGAATCTTGTGTCCTCTTTCCCTGAAGCAGGGTCTCTCATTGAACCAGAAGTTCATCATTTTGGCTAGGCTGATTGGCCACTGATCTCCGGGGACCTGCCTGTCTTTTTGCCTTTTGGATCACTGTTGACAATCTTGGGGGGGGGGCTGCTGATTCTTTCCTTCTGCCAACTCTGCTGATAAGACCATTAAATGACTTTTTGTTTGTGATGTGATTTTCTGCTGTTTCCTGTTGGCTCTCTTTTACAATTCTTATCATCCTGCATTTTTTTCTATTTCTAGTAGATTACTAATATATCTATCAGGGTTATTTTACAGTTTTTATCTTGTAATTTCTACATCTAGGTCAATATCTGTTTACTTCTAATTTTTCTAAAATATATGGTATGATGTTTATTATAGGTTGGCTTATTTCTTTACATATTTTATAATTTTATGAACAAAATGACAGTAGAGATTAAAGTATATATTTATCTTAGCAAAGCATATGCCCTTTTCTCTGTCAGGCTACTTTTATGGTAGATAGACTTAATAGAGTCTATATTTAGGCAATCCTGTAATGTGTTACAGCTTTGCTTAGATTCTCATCTTCACTATCTTCAAATGTTGTAGGAGTGGGATAAGAATTTTACTATTAAGAGAGTGTAAGGCCTGTGCATGGAAAGACCACGGTGTTCCCATTAGGCTACAGTTTGGTTGCAAGTCTCTCTATCTCCCCCTCTCCCTCTCCCCATCCTCTCTCCCCCAAAGGGGCCATTGTCATGTGGAGGACTAATGTACCTCAGAGACATTTCCCTCCGCTCTGTTGTCCTCACCTCAGGTACCAGAATGACACTGCTAAGTTTTACATGAATCCTGGAATGCCTTGGAGGATTTTCCTCTATACCCTATAACATGCCTAGCTTTGGAAGACTAGTAAAGAAGGATGATGAAGAAGAGAAGATAAAGAAGATGAAGATGAAGAATAAGACATGGTATAGACATAGAGTATTTTACGAATATTTCTAAGATCTCAGAAAGAATTTTATTTGGTTTATGCAGTTACTGGCATATAGCAGATGCCTAGGAAATTCTATTTTTTTATCTTTTTTTCTTAGATTTCAGCATCAATAGTAAGAGCATGGTACTGAAAGGTCGGATAGCTTTTCATGATATCTCTATCTAGTTATTCAACCTACATAATTATTAATTCCTAAAAGCTACAGTTATGTTATTAATTATAATTGTGTTATACAATGCTTCTCAAAGCTGTAGCATGCTTTATCTTCCACTAGCTTACCCAAACCATAGAAAGCCAGGCACAATCTCATAAGAGTACGGGAGGTACAAGACTCTTTTTATTTGTTCTAAATTAATTTTCTCAGGTGTGGGATACCACATAATCATGGTGAAGGAACCTGTTTGTAACGTTGATGAAATTTCAAAATTGATCCATTATTATGCAGCAACAGCCACTTTGGAGACTAATGTTGGAACTGAGTTATCATTTATTCTACCCAAAGAATATGCTGACAGGTAAAATGCTAGATGGTTAGTTTCTAAATAGCCAGAAAACATTACTGGTTTTCCTGGTTTCTTCTGACTTAGCAAATAAGGTTTATTTAAGAAAACTAAACCAAAGCTCCTGTCATAGCAGTCACACAGTCACTTCTCTGGAGAGAGAGAGAGAGAGAGAGAGAGAGAGAGAGAGAGAGAGAGAGATCAACTATAGCTTCCTAGGACTAATTGGTAGTTTACTTTACTGGTAAATAGAGTGAAGAAAAATATTAAGGTAATGAGAGGGTCTGGCATATATATAATCCCGGCACCACACACATACACACCACCACCACCACCACCACCACTAACATTAACAACAACTACAGCTCTAAAAGCCAGGCATGGTGACACATGCTAATAATGGTAGCATGAGGAAGAGGACCATGAGCTTGAAGCCAGCATGGACCACAGCCCTGTCTCAGAAGAAAAAAAAATGGTAATGAGAAAAGGCCAGGACAGCTTAAATGGTGGTTCTTGGACTAAGAATGAGAAAAAAATCCACCAGGACTAGGCAGTTGACATGTGCCAGTTAGCTATGCCATTCATCAAAGGTTATCACAAAAGAATAATAACTCTAAGTGAGGTAATAATCTTTAAAATGAGATGTGGAAACCAAGAATACTCATCAGTGACTTTTCAGGATCTGTTAGCTTTATCTTCTTGTATTCAAGTGAATACGTACATTGGTATGTTTTGCATTTGAAGCCAGCAATAATATTCATGAAGAATGTGAAAGCTTTAACATCTTCTTTGCCAGGATAAAGAGGAATGCTTCATAAGGGAGAAAGAGAAGGAGAAGGACACATCATTTGAATTTCATTTATTCAGTAAATCCAACAGTTCTTGGAAAGCAGCACAGAGCAGTGTGATCCCCTGGTGGAGAAGGATAAAACCTTTGCCTTTTTTTTTCTTTACAGAACATATACCATTTAATTTTGTTTCACATTCCCAAAATGCATGACACAACAATTTATACTGCATTATGAGTTATAGGTTAGGGATGATTTACAGCATAGAAGAGGACTCACACAGGTTATATCCAAATACCAAGTCATTTTACCTATGGGACTTGAACGTCTGCAGATTATATATTCTTAGGAAATCCTAAAATCAACCCCCATGAGTACAAGAGGACAAGTGTACAGGGTTTAATAGTCTCTCCAATCACATGCATTGATGCGCCACTATGTCTGGCCTATTTTTGAGATCTTAAAAAAAAATTCTTGCCTAGACCAATGTTATGGATAATTTCCTATATATTTTCTTTTAGTACTTTCATAGTTTTTAATCTTACATTTAACTTTTCAATCCTTTTAAAACTGATTTTGTAAATGGTAAGAGATATGGAACTAGTGCTGTCCTCTGCATGTGAGCCAAGAATGAGGCAGTCAGACAACTGTCATTATCTACGGCACTTCTGTTTTTTTCTGTATGTCTTACTATTCTGATATAACCGAGGAATGGAATTATGATAAGCGTTGAAGTCTTGATGAGGGCAATCACTTTAGAAGAAAAAGAAGCATGGGTGAGAATCATTTGGTTAATTCTGGCCTTTCCTGTTCTCTGACTTGTAGGTTTGCAGCTCTCTTCACTGCTCTGGAAGAGAGTCAAACACTCGGCATTTCTAGCTTTGGAGTCTCTATCATGACCATGGAGTAAGTCTTCCTTCGGTTAGTAAGAATGCGTAAAGAAAGGGAAATTCTTGCAGGGAAAGGACCGTGTGTGTGTGTGTGTGTGTGTGTGTGTGTGTGTGTGTGTGTGTGTTTCTATTTTATGTGTATGAGTATATTGCCTGCTTATATGTAAGTGCACCTGTGTTGTGCAATGCCCACAGAGGTCAGAGGAGGGCATCAGATGCCCTGGAACTGGAGTTATAGACAGCTGTTAGCCGCCATGTGGGTGCTGGGAATCGAACCTGGGTCCTCTGCAAGAGCAGCCAATGCTCTTAACTACTAGGCCATCTCTCCAGTCTCTGGGAAAGGACCCTTTGTAAGCCAACCGAGCTTTTAGATTTCACACACTAGAAATTTAAGGGTGACAAGGGGTTGGTGCTTGGGAACCATACTACTCTTACCATGTTGTCTCTAAGCAATGCACAAGCAGAGGGGCCTTCAGAGTCAGGGGTTACCAACTCCCATTCTCCAAACAAGTTATATTGGGATAAGGTTGGAATGATAAACTTTGTTTGTTTGTAATATAGGGTCAGTCACCTGGAAGATTCAAAACCAGATAGCCAGGCTGTGCAGTCTCCCTCTATGGAAATCAAAGTAAACCAGATATAGGAATTTCCCAAGTAACATGAGAACAGGTTTTCCTACCCAGAGTGAAAACCCGCTGATTGTGTTTAATACTGGGATAAGAAGCTTTGCTAGGAAACAGGGTATTTATTCAGAGGTATGTTTTGTTTTAATACTTGAACCAAAAGAATGTAAAGTTCTCAGCCACCACAGAACCAACCTGGTGTGGAGTAGACTGTGCTACAGACTAGTTAATATTCAAATGCAGAAGGATTGGTTCTAGAAAACATATCAGACATTTACTTTCAGTGCCATCATTCCTCAGTTTTTTCATTTTCTTATTTTAGATTTTTTTTTCAAGTTGAAAACCTGGAAATTTATTGACTCCTTGAAAGGTACAAGTGAGCTAGATTTTTCAAATAATCAACCTTGCACAGCATTTTAAGCATTTGGAGTTTTGTAAAGGGAATAGTTACTGCATATGAGATTATTTCCAAATACGTATGATCCTGGTCTTAGAAAGCCTGTTTGAGTTGCCAAGCACTTCCTTGCTCTTTAATCATCTATTGCATCTATAAAGCATCCTGGTTGTTGTGGCTATGAGGAGTCTGAGGAAAAGCTATCCTGTTGCCATTTTCAATATTACATCACAACATTAAAATTTAAGCACTTTACTGGCTGTTATACCAGAAGTCAGCAAAGTCAATGTAACAAGATAATAAATGTGGAAGGTTCTGCAGGTCACATGGACTCTGCTGGTTACTCAGCTGTCCTGACAGCACAGAGCCACTGTCAGGGTATTGGAAAGAATGCATGTAACCTCTTGCCTGTGGAGCATTTTTGTTTTTACAGAAGTAGGCCACGGTTTGTTGTCATCTGCCTTTTACTAACAAAAGACTGACCATATTATTGAGTACCATCTGAATAGGTTTGGGGTCTACCCCAAGTATTTGTATTTACTTATATAAGTCTTTATATAATTTGTCTTTATGCCATAAAACTTTTATACCACACAACTTCAGAACCTTGAGTTCAATGAATTCCAATGTGAATAATGTATTGAGGTCTAGATGTGTGATAACCCTGTGTTTCTCTCTTCTCTGTCTAGTGTTCCCTGTACTGTCAGCAGCTCTGGGCCATGTTCATAAAGAGGCTGATGTACAATTGGCGTAACTGGAAGCTGCTTCTGGTGCAGATACTGGGACTTGTCATTTCTACGTTCCTTCTCTTCAAGTCCAGTGACCTTAAAGATGAAGGAGAGAAAACCAGGCAAATGAACTTGGGGGAATATGGTCAAACCATTGTGCCTTTTTCTATTTCTGGGAATTCTAGTTTGACAACAAGTCCCTTAACACACCTTGAGAGTATGCTAAAAGTTGGCAACCTCAAACTTAAGGAGGTGCAAGGTAAGACTTATTAAGAAAGATAAAGGCTGCTCTTGGATGATTTGCCTGGATCACTTTAAAGAAAGATCTTATCTGTAATTTATTTTATTTATTATTTTTATTTTATGTGTATGAGTGTACTGCCTGCATGTATGAAAATGCATTTGTGTCATACAATGCCCACAGAGGTCAGAAGAGGGCGTCGGATTCCCCTAGAACCGGAGTTATGGATGGTTGTTAGCTGCCACGTGGGTGCTGGGAATCGAACCCAGGTCCTCTGTAAGAGCAGTCAGTGCTCCCAACCACTGAGCTGTCTCTCTAGCCCCTTAGCTATAATATTTAGAAACTTGCCTCATTCTTTTCCTAATGCTTATTATCATAGAGACAATTAAACCCTAGAAATGCCCTCATCAAGGCTACTGCTCTCAAAAGTTAATAGGGTTTGGTTGCACTTTGACTGTGGACTGTCTACAAGCATTTGTTGTTCTCTTCTAGTTGAAGAAAAAAAAACTGAATGCCAGAGTACAAGTCACTGTGAAATTATGCATAGTTTTGAATTTTAGCCACAATGTGTTGCATAAAATCTGGCAGAGAATGAAGCCCCCGCCCCGTCCTGAAAATTATTCTTTAGTCTTCTATGCTGATCATATTTAAAACAAGATCCCTGAAGACTTCATGAGCTAGCTCCTGACAACACATTTTTAATAGTTTACATTTTCTTTGCTGTTTGATTTGATGTCGTTTAATCTAAGTAATCACTCTATTCCATAGGTAATTTTTACTATGGCGGGGTCTTGCCCCAATCTGCAATTGAAGATTTGAATTTACCTGTTTTGCCTTGCATCTACAAACCACTTAGTACATCACACTTTATGTCTCTGAACATAAAGTCTGTTCGCTTTCAAGTGTGATCATTTCTTCCCCGACATTGTGAACACTGTTCCTTTGGTTAACAAACAGCCTACAGGATTAGCATACCTGTTTTGTTTTGGTTTTCTCTCTCCTTCATGTTCTGTTATAAGGGATAAAAATATGTTTGGGAATGTCAACTGTTCCTTAAAAACATAATCTTGATTGAACAACTTACAAATAATAAATTGGCTGATTGCAATTAATTGTCTCTATTCTTTTTCTTTATGACAATAATAGATGAATTGGGCCTAGTGGTATAGTCCTCTGATCCCAGCTGCCTGGGAAGCTGAGGTCGAAGGATCACAAATTCAAGACCAGCCTGAGCTAGAGACTGAGGCCCAAACAGGGCTAAGGATATAGCTCAATGGTATAGAATTTGCATGGTATACAGTAGGCACTAGTCCAACCCTCAGTAACACACACAGAGACAGAGATAGAGGAAAATAGATGAGCACTTGTTAACCAAGATCACATCGTAAAGAGACAAGACAAAAGAAAAATCTTGACTCATGAAATGATGGGTTTTGACTCATAGCGTACTGCAATATTTACTTTTTAAGTGCAGTAATGGTGTTTTTCAACTCTGCCATCAAAATATTTGATTATTTCTATGTGGTTTAGTTTTCCGGTAAATTGCCTATTTCAGTATCCTGTTGAGCTGTGAATTTGTTTCTATAGTCTGTACTTTCTGTTAGTTCTGTTCTTTAAAAAGTATACTTGGTAATGTTTTAACTCAATGCCAGGTATCGAGGTGGAAAATAATGAAGATTTTACATGAGATTATATGCTCTGAAGATGATTTGATTTAATTTCCATCAGGCAGTAAGATTAAAGGAAGACCTAAATCCAATCAAGAGAGTCTAGAAAGATGACTCGGTGGTTAAGTGCACATAGTGTTCCTACAAAGAAACAAGTTCAGTTCCCAGCTCCTACATGAGGTGGCTCAAAACCACCTCTAACTCCAGCTCCAAAGATGTCACACCATCTTGTGGAACACACACACACACACACACACACACACACACACGTAATTAAAAACAAAACTTTAAATCCAGTCAAGAGTTTAAATTATTTTGAGACTGGATAACATTTTCATAAAGGACATTCCGTCTCTGCCTCATTTTTGCTATGGTATAATGTTCTTAAGCCCCACTGAGAAACTGAAAGTTTATGAAGCCTCTCCACCACTTATGAATCTTTAAAGCTCTCAAAGGGCTGATAAGCACAGGGTGCTGGCCTCACCTCAATGTATTTTCATTCTTCCCATGCTTGACCCCAAGATGTTTGTTGCTTTCTACATCTGTAATACCCAGGGCTCAGGGACCATTGCAGAAGAGGGGGCAGAAAGATTGTAAGAGTCAGGGAGGAGGTACATGACCATAGGGAAAGTCCTACAAGCTCCTGGAACCCTGTTCATTTGAACGTTCAGCAATGGTGTCAGCATGCCCAAGACCAATGCAAACTCAAGCAGACAAAAACCCAGCATAGAACTGGGGAAATGGACAGCAGACCCCATTCTTAGCTGACAAAATATTGGTAAATGATTACTGTTAGGTGAGGAAGAACTGATCTTCCTAAAGTGAGGAACTCCAGATAGGCTGACTAGACCTCAGTAGATGAACTTACACTAAGGAATGTCTGGGAACACTAACTTGACACAATAGGCCTTAACACAAATGGTAGAATGCATGAATTCCAGTGGGGGGGGGGCTATGGAAGGTGCCAGTGGGGAAGGGTATAAAGATGATTAAGACAAACTGAGATGTTCTGCATGAAATATACAAAAATTCAATTTAAAAAATCCTCAAAAACAGTGATTTAAATTTTTTTTCACCCAGTTTTTCTGGGTTTTCAGTGGAGTGGTTTTTTTAGTTACATTATTATTATGATGATGATGATGATGATGATGATGATGCATAAAGGCAAGTGGTCAGTTTTTAATACACATGACTTGCTCTCTAAAACTTCCCAAACTGCAAGAATTTTTAGTGCAATAATTCCTACTGAATCTTGAAGGTAAAAACCTTTTGGGTTGACTCTGTTAAAACTTCTATAGCATAATTACTTTCTCCATGGGCAGGACATGAGTATAACTCTTCCTTGTACTAAGGTCTAATAAATATTCTTTATGAAACCAAAATACATATTAGAATATTATTATTGTTGGAATCATTTTTTAACTTCAAATGCATTAATCTTTCATAGTTATGACAGATTCTTATAATCTTTAATTTTAATATAGATATATAATTATTTATGCTGCATTTTATACACCATATTGACTGCAATTTTTCAAACTGCCATATAATTTTAAATGGTGACTAGAATATAAATGTTGGCAATTGTATCCTTAAAATGACATTTTGAAGTAGGGGAAACAGAAGAGCCTTATTACACATTTTACAGAGCCATTATTACTGTTATCTATACAATTCTTTTTTTAACTTTAAAAAAATTATTGAGAATTTCATACATGCATGTAATGTATTTTGATCACATCCACTCCCTCCCCTCCAGCTCCTCCCATATCTTTCCATCATTTTTTTCTGACAACTTCATATACTCTTTCTTCTTAAATTAAATTAAATTTAATTTTATGGGGCTTTTTGCTACTCTAACATTCCCCCCTCTGAAGAGATAACCCTAAAATCTTTTAGGGGTTAGATAAGAACTCCCAAATACTTTTGACATTTTTGGCCTTTGGAACAGAGTTTGTTGCTAAGAGGCCCAAGGACATTTTGACTTTTAGCCAAGAAACTGGCTACTTTTCTTTAGAGATTTTTTTTACCCTAACTGCCTAGCCAATTCCTATCTCTTATTCGTATCAGACCATCCTCTGAAAAGGTTACCCAAATTGCCTATAGGGAATTGGGATGCAGACTGCTCTGGCTTCTTCCATGCTGAACAGGGATGCAGAGTGAGGCAACTGGAATAGCCCTTCAGTGGGTCTATCTAAAAGACTCCCAAATTGCATAACTCTTATCTCTAGGGGGAAAAGAAAATCCTTGACTCATGAATAGGGGATATGAAGGAGAAGTAAAGGCAAGAGTAGTTAGCAATACAAGTTCTAGACAGGGAACTAGAAAAAAATAACGGGGCAAATTTCAAATGTTCAAATCAGAGTCCATTGTTTAGTGGAGATTTTTATGAGCTCTAAAATATAAGCAGAAGTTTTTTTTCTAAGAATTTTTTTATAAGTCTGTTTAAGACAGATAGGGAAGTTTAAAGGGTGCACTAGGTTGCCTGTGTTTTCTCTGTGAAGTTACAGTTTAGATTATAGGCTATGGAGTGAGAAAACCTGGAATTCACTGATGGAACAAAGTGCTGAAAGTAACAGCAAATAATTGAAATAATTATCGTGACAAAATTAAAAACAATGAGAAATGCAATTATTGGTTTTTTGATGGCATACACTGTAGGTGATCTGTGTTGGTGGATCTGCTGACTTGTCCTTATTATGTCTTCATCCTAGGTATCTGTATTAGGGTTCTCCAAAGAAACAGAACCAGTAGAATGAATATGTATAAAGATTTATCAGCTTAGCTCACAGGATAGAGTCCGAGTAGTCCAACAATGGCTGCACCACACTGGAGAGGCTGAGAATCCGTAGTCACTCAGTCCACAAGGCTGGATGTCTCAGTAGTCCCAATCCGGTGCTGAAGGTCTGACAAATTCCAAAATATCAGCTAGTCTTCAGTCTACAGCAGCAAGACGAACTCACCAGCGAGAGAGAAGGCAAGCAGCAAGAAGCCAGGCGTTCTCCTCTGCCATGGCCTTTTATACAGGCTGCCATCAGAAGGTAACACCCACATTTAGGGTGTGTCTTCCGGCTTTAGATGATCCAATCAAGAAGATCTCTTTCATTTCAGTTAATCTCAGATCAAATCAAGTTGACACCCAGGATTAGCCATCACAGTAACCTACTGAGTTACTTGATGAAAAATGAAGAATGTATTTATTTATGTATTGTTGCCCTTTCCATTGAGGTGACTGCAAATATAACAGTGCTTACTCTTCTGCTAAACAATGATGCATACCACCTACCATGTCTATCCCTGGCGGTTTTGGACAGTGCTCTTTTCATGACACTTTCTGGTACCAAGGCCTCCTTAACAGTCTCCAATAAACCTCAGGCACATCTCAAAACTAAAGAAAGTCAAGGGTATGTTTTTTCTTTCATTGGAACTGACTTTTACACTTTAAATATGTTCTCCCCACCCTATCTGATTATGTTCATATGATAAAAATAACCATTGATAAGAATCTATATTTTCTGATGTACCTTTGTTTCCTTTTTAGGATAATAGATGGAAAGCCTTAAAAATACAGTTGGGCATGGCTCTTTTGGTCAGTGGCTTCTGCCTCCTGACAGTGACTGAGAGAAGCAGCAAAGTGAAACACATGCAGTTTTTGACCGCGTCTCTTCTTGTTTACTGGCTCTCTGCTTTAGTATATGACTTTCTCATCTTCACTTCTTGCTGCTTACTGCTGCTGAGTGCTAGAAGACTTTAGTGGGGATTCTTTTCCCTCTGCACCACAAGAATCTCCCTCTTCTAATGGTTTCATAAAGCTAGCTCTGCCAATAAACAATCTGCTCAATAATTTATGAAACACATTGCAACCCTGGGCATTGGTGGCACCTGCCTGTAATCCCAGTACTTGGGAGGTGGAGGCATGAAGATCAGTTGGGATCATCCTCAGCTTCATAGCAAGTTCAAAGTCAGCCTGGGCTTCATGGGATCCTATTCAAATAAATAAATATATAATCTAAATGTCTCATGATAGACTTTAGAAGAAAATAATTCCAATATCCTTCATTATAAGAAAACAGCTTTTCTTTGTCATAACATGAGTGTATCTTACAAGCTAATTTTCCATTTATTTTCTCTTCAACTTTTCTAAGCTCCAAACCAGCTCAAAGGAGAAAGTATCTTACTTAAAATGTCTCATACTGACTGGTCTTATACACTTTTGGTCTCTGGTATTTTTGACTGTACTATTGCCACCTTTCCTAGCTTTATGTCACTATCAATTTATTTAAAATCTTTTTTTCAAATACCTGCTGTCATCATCCAGACACTGTTCTTGAACTGAGAGTGTGACTTGTTAAAATCTAAATCCTTCCTCTTAATCCTCCAATTAGAATTCTTAAACAAACAACTGGATGAAAGATAACTATTTTTTAAAAAACGGGCTAGAGAGATGGCTCAGTGGTTAAGAACACTGATTGTTCTTGCAGAAGACCCAGGTTCGATTCCCAGCACCCACATGGCAGCTAGCAACTGTCCATAACTCCAGTTCCAGGGAATCCGATAGCCCCTTCTGTCCTCCATGGGCATTGCATGACACAGGTGCACTTACCTACATGCAGGCAATATACTTATACACATAAAATAAATTAATAAAATAGATTTTTTTAAAGAAACATCATAATTTAAAT